CCTCTCCGCAGAGCTGCTCTCCAGCAGGTCCACCCCAAGCCTGTACTGATGCATGGGGTTGTTCCTCCCCAGGTGCAGTCTCTCTTTAGAGAGACTGCAGGCTGCAGATCAGGACCAGGGAAGGGCAGGGAGTCAGCCCCATCCTCTTCCAGCAAGCAGCCTTGTGGGGAGCAGCGTGAGAGATGGACAAGGCCCCAAGCTCCCTTCTTCCCACAGAGCACCAAGCGGGCTCAGCAGCTGCCCCACAGCCATGGGCAGGATCCTGCTCCACGGGGCAGCCCCACGGCCGTGCCGAGCGGGCTGGGGAGCGGCACTGCCATGCTCGTCCTGCAGCCAGCAAGCACTGCGTGGAGCCAGCGTGGTGCCCGTGCCAGTGAAAACTCTCCCGGGTGATCTGCAGGCACCAGTCAGGGCATGGGGTGTACCTGGCTGTGGCTGGCTGTGATGTGGTTAGAGGAGCTTGTCTACGGGGACACGAGCAGTGTTGTGGTCACGGGCCTCAGGGCTGCAGGGTGCCTCTGGCCCCCTCTTAGATATTGGTACATTTGTACTGCAGAGGTGAGGAAGATGATTGCCAAGTGATGATGGAGGCAGGCGATGCAGTCTGTTGGATACCCGAGAGAAGCAGACAAGCATGGGTGGAGAACCCTTACTTCCATGAGAGAAGAAAGACCCCGCCGTGAAAAACCACCCCTGTTTGAACTGCACACAGTGCACAGTCCCGCTGGCTGCCTTAGAATCACAGAGTGCTTTGGGTTGGAAGGGGCCTTTAGAGGTCATCTAGCCCAGGGGGATCTTCAACTCGACCAGACTGCTCAGAGCACCGTCCAGCCTGGTCTGGAATGTTTCCAGGGATGGGGCCTCCAGGAGGCTGAGCGTGCCCTGTGCTCCATGAGCTGCTGCGGCGGGGTCTCTGCGGACAGCACAGGGAGCCCAGGGCAGCTGGCCCAGATGTAGACACCCGACCCGTGGACACCCAGCTGCGTTCACATAACCCTTCCTGAGCAGTCTGTTCCTAAACCTGCCCTTGAACTGCTCAAGGCACTGAGAAGCCTTTCCAGGGGCACTGCCCGCTCCCCCTTTGTGTCCAGACCACTTCCCCGATGCCCTTTGCACCCCTCCGTGGAGTGAAGCTCTCAGCGTGGCAGCAGGCTCCAGACAACGACCCTGCATGGCGCAGAAGTTGCACCTGGCTCTGAAACTGCCCGGTTTTGTGGGAGGGCCACACGCGACACCCAAGCAGTCCCAAGGGTGCTTGGTGCCCCTGGGGCTCGCCCCACACTGCTCCTCGTTCGCTGTGTAAGGGCAGCCCCAGGCAGACCTCTGGGGCAACAGCCGTGCTGGTTTAAGGCTTTCTTGCCATGCCAGATCACAGGTAAGCCTGTTACACGTTGCATGTCATAAATTTTAAGTGCTAATTATGACACAAATGTCTTATCAGCACTAGAGCTGCTCTGGTGTTTCCCAAAGGCTGAAAGCAACAGAGAGCTCCTGGTCCACAGCAAGGCTGGGGACGGGGAGCGCGTGACCATCGGCTACTGGAGGCACGGGTGGGCAGAGATGGAGCCTGCAAGGGTCACGTTGCCAGCTTGGTCCCAACAGAGGCTCTGTCTGGCTCCTGTTTGTGTAGGTGGCTCCTGAGCAGCTCCAAGGGCTGGGGTTCAGTAGCCGTTCTGGCCACGGAGCCACCAATTACGCCAAGCCCCGTGCGCCGCTTCCTCGTCCCCAGACGCTCTCCACCTGGATGCCGCAGCACCGGCCCTGCAGCCGCAGCGTGCTGACCTTGCTGCCAAGGCAGGGACACACCTCGCTGCAGGGGTGTGCAAAGCTGGCCCCACATTTCCTCCACGTACGCAGTGTCCTGCTCTTCCCATGTCGTCTCTGCACTGGGCGGGACAGCGGGGAGCCAGTGCCCGGATCCCTCCGAAGCAGCCTTTACCCCCTCCTCCGTCAGGGCTCGCGCAGAGACAGAGACGGCCCCACTGCCATGCCCATCCTGCTCCCTCACTGGCCATTGCCTTGCTTCTGCAAGGTGGACCCAGAGCCCTTCAATATTTTTTTAGGGGCTCAAACCAACCAAGGTGGTGAGCAATTGGTTGTACTGAGGCAGGGCAACTTTTCTGCCATAAACCAGGGCTGTCTGGACAAAGCCTGGTGGCCTGGAGCCTTCTGGCCTTTCTCCAGCAGAGGAAATGCTCCATGTTTAGGAGCATCTCTTTCACATGGTGCCTTTGAACCCTGGTCCACGGGGGAGGGTGGGTGGGCTGGGGAGCCTGGCCCTGCATGCTGGCTACCCACCAGCACCACAGCTCCCCGCTGAGGGTTTCAGCTTTGTCTCCGCAGGGACCCTCCTGAACCTCACCGTGAGCGACCATGGCCGGTCAGACTCCCTCCTTCTGTCCTGGGATGAGCCAGACGGGGGGGCTGAGGGATATTCGCTCACCCTCTCCTCCCTGGGTTCTGGCACACCACTGCAGAATGGATCTGCTGGACCCAACATCACCAACTTCTGGTTCCACGGGCTGACCCCTGGCATGCACTACGAGATTGAGGTGACAGCCACGCTCGCCTGCATGGAGACCACCAGCCAGACAGTCACAGCACAGACAAGTAAGGGGTTCCCCAGGGACTGCAGAGTCAAAGGGTCTCAGCGCTCCTACCAATGATCGTCACACTGCTTTGGAGGGTGTAAAGTACAGGTCTGTGTGGAGTCCTGGGAGTTTACAGGGAGGTCGGGTCTTTCTTCACTTCCACAAGGATTAGCCTCCTTCCCTGGTCCCCAGAACCCTCATCCAATGGTCATTCCCTCATCCATGTGGAGTGAGGATCCTGTCCCTGCACCTTGCATGGGCACGATTCACACTCAATCTTCTCCTGGAATAATACAGCTAATGATGAACCAAGCTATGATGTGGACTGCAGAGAGCTGAGGGGTGGAAAATGTCATACCTGGAGATCTAGAAAGGGCTACAAGGAAGTAGTATCTGCGCCATGATTTTGGCACCTCTCTGTCAGTCACTGGCTCACCCACCAAACCTTGCTCTACGCCTTCCCTGGCTGATGCCAAGGACTGGGGGAAGCAGGAAGGGCTGATGAGCCCACAGCTCAGGTGAGGATGGCAGCCCTTGCCTGCATCTCTCCAGAAGATCCCTGGGTAAATCTGTTCAGGTGAAGGTGGAAAACCTAGAAAAGGAGAGTAGAGCTGGAGGGGGAAGGGATGGCAGTGGTGACTGCAGGGAGCAGGGGCTGGTGCTCACAGGGAGGGGGGGGGGCAGCAGGAACAGAGGACCTGGCAGCAGGTGATCTCCAGGTAAGTGCTGATGGCTTCACCTTTCTCAGCACACACCTGGTGTCTTGTCCCTGCCCGACCTTCCTGCCCAGTTCAGAGTGACTGTGCAGAGACTGATGCAAAGGCGATGGTGCAGCCCACACAACCCATGGGAGACTGGGGAGCTGGCAGGGAGGTGATAGGGCTGTGCCTGGGGGACTGGGTCCTGTGGAGATGGTTGGCAGGACCTCACCAGGTGAAGGTACGTTGAGCAACCTGGCAGGCATCACAACACAACCACCCAACACTGTCTGTGCCATGTCCGATGCAGGTCCTTCACCGGTCCGCAACCTGAGCCTAAGCAGCAGCGGGAGCTCTGCTGTGCTGCATGCGTCCTGGGTGCACGCCCACGGGAAGCGAGATGGCTACCACCTTGCCCTCTACCACAGTGACTCCCAGACACTGGTCAGAAATGTGTCCATCCTGCCAAACGCCTCCACGTTCCTGTTTGACGGGTTGCTGGCTGGCAGCGAGTACGCCTTGAAGGTCAGCACGCTGGCTGGATCCAGCCAGGCAAGCACCAGTACCCACCAGTGGACAGGTAGGGAGTGATGGGTGTGCCTGCGCAAGAGGGAAGGGGTGGGAGAAAGGGTTTGGCAGGAGGGGTGCAGCACAGTGGGTTGGCAGAGAGGAGGAGGAGGAGGTCTCCAGGCTTGGGATGGGGAGTTTGTGTAGGATGGGGAACAGCTGGGAGTTCTTCGCATCCTCCCTGTGAGCCCAGTGTGCCGGGCCAAGGGGAAAACCTCGCACCTCAGTCCTGCCTTGTAGGACCCACAGCTTATGTTTGTGTGCTCCATGTCCCCGTGGGAGAAGGGCAACCTGGGGATCCTGGCACCAGAGCTTGGCTGGTGTGAGCTGCAGAAACGTTACATTCCCCAGGCTGCCACCCCCTCTGCCCTGCAGCCTGAACGAGCGTGACAGGATGGAGGGACCTCAAGAGCCCCTCAGCTCACCTGGGAAGGGACATGGGAGAGACATCCCTCAGCAGACCCCTGCCAGACCTTCACTCCCCATGCCAGCATGGAGAGAAGCTGTGGGTGTAGGAGAGGGAGAGAGGAGGGTCCAGGGACCCCCAGCCCCAGTGCTGAGCCTTACTGCCTCCTGCTTCCCCCCTCAGCTCCCTCCATGCCCACCCAGCTGCGGCTCAGCCCGGGCTCCAGCCCCAGCCTCGTCGCCTCCTGGGCAGACGCAGCGGGGGCTGCCTGGCTTCACCTCGCGCTCCACAACCTCCTCACCCAGACGGTGACCACCACCCTGTCGGTGGCCCTGGATTTCCCCCATGCCTCTGGTCCAGCCTCTGAGTCCAAAAGTCTCCTGCCAGAGCCCTGGGTGGAGAGGGCAATTCTGCTTGGACCTGGCCGAAAGCTGCTCCAGGACCCAGCTCAGGGGCACTGTGATAGTGGGGCCAGGGAGTTCCCTGGGCTGGTGAATTCCCAGTGCCGGCCTGGGATGCACTGGGACCAGCCTGTGGCATCTCCCCGAGGAGGATGGAAGGGCAGCAGATCCCACTGGCATGCAGTGCAGCTGGAGATGGGCTTTTCACGTGCCTTGGGGCTGTCCAAGGGCAGCAGAGAAAGCAGGGGCAAGGGGATAGCGGTTTAGCTGGTTTGAACTGGAGGTTTCTGGAGGGAAATGAATCTTCGGTCCTCTTCGATTGCTGTCAAGGATATGTTGTGGTAGCACCTGATAACCTCATCCTGGTGGATGTCCCTGATGTGCTGGGTGCTGTGCAACACAGCCACGGAAGCCAGCCTCTGGCAGGTGAAGAAACTGAGGGTAGCCATCCTAGACCCCAGCTAGTTGCACCATTCAACCCAACTTCCTTCACCTTCTGGCCTCAGGCTGACAAGGACCCTGAGAGAGGGTGACTTCCACCACCACAGTCCTGGTTTGGTCCCAACACCATGTCCATAGCCCTGCAAACAGTTCTGGCCCCAGACTTGCTCTCCCAGATGTTCCCAGGAAAACCAGGGAGAAAATGGAGAGGGCAAGCCTAGCCTCCTGGACAGAGCAAGACTCATGCTGAATGACAAGAAAGCATTGGTCCTCTCTAGTGAGAAGCAACAAATTATGGAGGTTCCAAGCTGCAAACTCAGGGCTGTTGTGGTCAGTGACTTGTCCTGGCCCTGGGCGGACGCTGGCCAGGCATACGCTGGAAGGACCTGGGTGCCACCAGGTGAAAGTGTCCAGATCTTTCCTGCTCCCCCTGCCAGTCCAAGAAGCCGGAGCCTGCTCACTGCTGACTGCAGCTGGGATTCTGGAAGACCTCCACACCCCCAGCTGCTTTGTTTCTGCTGTGGAGTGGGTCTGACTCCATCCCTGCCATCGCCGTCTGCGGCTCTGACCTGCGCGACTGAGCAGTGCCGGTGCCAGGTGCACGAGCCAGGGGCGTCCAGCCAGGAGCTCGGTCCAGGCCAGTTGCTGGGAATATCAGCAAGCTCATGATGAGACACAAATAGAGAGGAGGGGGACTTTTAGGAATTTCCCAGCAGGGCTGCCAGCTTTGTCTGGGCTCTGCTAGACCAGGAATGGTTGTCCTAGCGGGTGGAGACAGCACACTCCAAAAAGATGTCTGAGGCTGGATGTAACCCTGCAGATGAGGAAACAGGGACCAGGGCTCAGGGGTGTGTGGGGTCCAGGGCACCGCGTAATCCTGACGCACACAATCTCCCTCCCTTCCCTTCCAGACCCCCTGAGCCCTGGCAATGTGACCCTGAGCAGTGCAGAGGAGCAGGGCTCCTTGCAGGCTCGCTGGAGCACTCCCGCGGGGCAGAGGGACTTCTACCTGGTGACGCTGCAGGAGGGAGAGGACGGTGCTCCGACGAGGAACATCTCTGTCGGCGGAGACAACGGTCACGTCACCTTCCACGGGCTGAGCCCTGGGAAGCAGTACTCTGTCCAGGTGACAGCGGTGGCTGGGCCGTACCGGGCATCAGCCCGCAGCACAGCAGCCTGGACACGTAAGCAGAAAGCCCAAGCATCCTTGCGAGGCCACGTCTGCCGTGTGGTGGAGGGGGTGGTGGGCAGAGGGGGGCTGGTGGGACGGGAGGGGATTGCGGCAGGGGCGG